GTGTGCGAGACATCTTCAACGAGGGGCATCTTCATTGTTTGAGCAGTGTGCAAGCATGAGCGATGATATGGCTTATGAGACGTCAAGTAGACATTTGCTGCAACGTATGTTTTGGATGCTAATGAAATGGAGGTGTCAGCGGTGTAACCACGGCCATGGACTAAAACATGGAAATGAGTAAACACACAGTAAACGAATCGGACATGGAGCAGTGAACCCTGACACCCAATCCGGCCGTTATCTGGTATGAACAGCAGTAGGCAGTATATTGTGTTGTGAACTGTAGTTTTAAAGCCATGTCCTTATCACGTTGTCTACGAGAATCACTGATTGATAGCATTGTCGTACGGAGCGAGATGCTCTTTTGCGCGAAAAATGTCCGTGTGCGCACTATAAAGTCTGTATCAACACCGCGCAGCGCGAGCGTTGTTTGAAACTGTAACATATCCGATTCTTGGACGGTGATTTCATTAGACATTTCTTAGTAACACAGCAGTGATATTGGACAAACTATACGGCGTTTTGGATGTAAGGTTATGTACTTATTAACCACACAAGGGTGCCAGTTACTCTAACATTCGTAAACATTTGCATAACAATGGACCTAGTATGCCTTTAATAGCCCGGGGTGTGTACAGCACGATATCAAATCTTGAATCTTATACCCTATTTTATCATAATTAATTATCCGCCTCATTATACCTGTTACTTAGACTATCGGAAGAATCCATATGTGAGAAGTCGGCCCAACTCTTCCCCGTGGTAATCATTTCAACTCTTTCTTCTGCAGATGAGGTTGATGAATCGAATGGGTTTGACATATTGTTGCCAGATTCCCATGACAATTCGCATTCGTTGCCACGGGGAAGAACTGTCAACTGCCAATGGGCACCTCGTCTCCATTTGGAGTCACATCTAAGGCACAATACCATTGATATGTCACCTCAGACACAGAAAAACTCATAGCACACACTAGCTGTTTAGTGCTGCTCACGCAATGACAGTGGCACAGACTGATGTGGTAAAGCATGCCACGTTTTATCCACGAGTATCCAAGGAAGTTGAACACAATGTAAATATTCCTGATGCCGCCCTGTGACTTCGAAACTCATATACGTATCCCCAAGAGGTATGAGAGCGCACGCGACTTACTATCGACGCCTTCTATCTCCATCCTTTCTTCACCGTTTGGACGGTTTGGAACAGATCTGTTTGGGAGCCGGAGTTTCATCATCGCAGTCCGAACTATCTGACTCGCTGCCTACTGGATGTGTGAATCGTCGATGAAAGTTTGCTGAGCAAACGAACGAAACGAAATCAACAAATGAAAAATTCTGTCCTGCGAAATAGTTCTAGTTTCAATCATACTCTTTGGATTTTACTTTACATCACTGGAGCACTGCATAGCATAAGAATCATGTATACTGTATACACCTAAATAGGAGAACCTTTAATATAAGATTTTACTTCTGTAAGCGTACCACCAACAGAGTTGAATAGAAATGCTTTCGGTTAAATGTTGCACGTATTCCTAATAACTTCAAGTAGAAATTCTACGACTGTGACATTACAAATCATAAATAAACTCACTGGTTAGTCTAATAATAGTGAACTAATTAGTTTTATACCTAGCTGTATATTCTGCAGATCAGGTGAAAATGTTATCTGCTTTTCTTCCCACTCCTCGTCCGAGTCAGGATTCATCAAGGGCTGTAAACGGGCACTGGCTATTGTCGAACAGGGATTCGTTTCCTGGCTGAAATGGATAACACAGTAAAACTATGGAAATCAGATGAGAATTATACTTAGTTTTATACTATTTCATAATTATTGTTTATACAAACGGTGTACGTCACATCCCACATTTCTGCAAATGTGTGAAAGCATCATTATGGAGGTTGCTGTACCAGTTAACAATCTAATAATGAAATCTGGTTTCAATCCTAGATCAATGTGAACTATTACTGTTCATTCTTGCTGTTATTAGTTGTTTATGCTGTTGTTGTTAGAGGTTTTCCATGTAACAGACCTTATCAAATCAATCACAATTACAATCATTGACTGGCCAAGTGCACCTAACAAATTTGACAGTGTTGAACAGTGTTGACAACGAAGAGTCCATTTAATTCCACTGAAATCTTATTTGCTTTAGTCGAGATGCTTTTCTGAATTTGAATAATTAAATACGTACTGAAACAATAATAAGAAATTCCAATTAAGAGAACTTTTGCATCCACTAATCGGCTGAATTTATCATTGCACACATGGCTTTCACATGCATGTGGAAAGCCACTTGTGCATAATAAAATTGATTGTTGTGCAAATGATAAAAATGTGATGCATTCAGATGCCAATTTTTACATTAAGACGGTCTAGAAAAAAGGGTATAAGGAGAATGAGAATGCGAGTGCATTTTCTATCTAAATGATACCACCGGTTCATCGGCGCTGATGTTAAGTTCAGGTTTTGGAATTTGTCTAAGGGGGCGCTGATGTGTCCTCTTGCTCCGCGAATTCCTCCTCGCTGTAGCCAAACTGCTCCGGGAAGTTGCTCGTCATTTGCTGCGTCCGATAATCGTTGAACGACTGAAAGCAGGCAACTACGTGGAATGTAATATTTAGATTTGCACGAACCACAAGACACTGACATGCATGCATCCGGAGCGCTCTCGTGCAGTGACGGACGATGCACGAACACAGCCCCGCACGTAACCTTCCTGTATTTCGGCACACATCAAACGCACGAAATACGCTGTTGCACGCACAAACACAAATCCATGATTAAGTACACAGTAAACACGTAGCTGTAGGAGTTGCGAGAATGCCCTACTGTAGGAGATGAAAACTATACTAAAACACCAGCAAAGAATAATACCTTGTTGTAATGACAGTATCTTGATGAAAAGGAATGTCTTTGTAATCTTGCATTGTCATCTTCACTAACTTGTGTGCACTTGGTTTAGAAATTATCGTGTACAAGAAAAAAAAACGTGAAATAAATGCAATCCTTTAGTTTCTGATATAAGCAATTGTTTTATAGCACTAAATATATTATAGTTTTCCCTAATCCTTTAAGCATTATTCTATATGTCAGGGCCTTCTGAGGTATCCCACACCTTCACACCTAAGATTTCTAGTAAAGGATTTTTTCACCTTTATTGGTAACATATAATTATGAGAAATAGTTAAACATATATTTGTCATATTTAAATGCTCTTTAACATGTTTTAAACTGTAAAAACAATGAAATTGTTAACGATCAGATTAACATTCATAAAGATGTACGTATGATCTGTACGCTTGTCAGGGACTTCTTTTGTTGATTTCAGCTAAGGCACCAGTACACACGTTTCCCAGCGCTGTAGGTAATCATCAGGCGTTTCTAAGAATGGAAAGTTCCAAAATTACTCACGCAGGAAACTGCCGGACTTTAAGGATATGTTCCCCTAGAATTTTAGAGTATATTAATTTATGATAGTAAATGCATAAATAATAGCATATACCTACAAATTTCTATTAATTACACATTCACGTTTGTCATAGAACAATTGAATTTTGAAATCTTTATTTTTAGGTGCTTGACATGACACCTTGAATGTGCTGCTACCCTGAAAAAGTTGCGGCATTTGCCAATTTATTTAGCATGTTACAGACCGAGGCGTTAATCACAAGTGCAATTATGTTTATACCTAAATGCTATTTACACGAACGATATTTTATTTTTAGGACATAATTCGTCCATATATAACTGAAAGTGTCGTTTATAAGATCTTGCAATCCTTCTGCCTTAAATTAATAAATAAGAAAGACACTTGCCTGCAGTGTGTAGCCTGTAGCCAGAAACGTTGCTTTGCACAACTTTTTCAGGGGATGCGCTCCATAGCACTAGCTCGCAGTGGCGTCACCGTTGTTGTAAGCATCGGTATAGCCGTCAGTTTTAAAACATTTTCAAAAAATATTTCGAATGAATATTGAACCATAAACGATGAAACATTTTACCTAGCATAATTTTAACCTATTTTAACAGAAAATATCCAAAGAACTTAGAGTAATGTATCCCTTTGAACATTCGACTTACTAGGATTCATTACAGCTAGCTGTTGCTTCTAAAACACAATTTTCATACTTCGACTCACGATTCTTACCTCGAGTTTAATAGCAAAAGCCATTCCAATCATTCACCGATTGGTAAACCAAGATATCCCAGTTACGAATCTCGAGCGCATACCTTGCATCGCTTCCTTTATCAATTCCTTATTGCTGCTCGACCCGAGTGTGGTGACGATGTCGTTGGCTATTCTAGTCAGATGACCCATGTAGCCTGCCCGTCGTCCTCCGGGTTTAGCCCTTTAAGTCATTAGTGACGGCATTAATTAAACGAGATTAATTAACTAGTTGCTATTCATGATCCAGTTCCAATTATGACATGCCAGAAGTTATCACGAATCGAGAGTTAAATTAATGTCCTTAATTTAACACCAGTAGGAAACATACGACTCCCTGAAAATTCTGCTATTCGTAATCAAAAATCCAAAAACATTAAACTTGAATACAATACTGTTTTCACCATTTTCATAACCACATTTTGTAGAGCAGTTAATGCAATAATTTATCAGTCTGTTTCTGTCTCATACTGTTCATGCATTATTGCTAGCTTTAGCATTGAGCTAGACTGCACCCTCATGTTTCTGTGACTCCTTATTACGGGATATGGAATCTACTGGACTCTTTTGATCGAAAGTTAAAATTCTGCCCCTGGCATACAACCAGTAACTGCTAATTCTTTCACACTGCCACAATGACATCGTGACATAAAGGTAAGCGAGGCAAGAACAGTAAAACACAGCATGGCAGCACTGCACATGAATATTACAGCTCCATCATGCTACAGACGATGCTTTGCACACATGACATGTCCAAGACAGCACCACAACTGCTCTAGAAATAGGGCAACATTGGGCAGCTCGTTCATCAGGTGAAATAATGACACTTACTGGTTTTGTTCATTACTCTCATGTGCATCGACTATTCGCTGGATGATTCGTGTATCTTTAAATAGCTGTAGTGAATGATAGTGAGATTAGTGTGTTTGGACCCTAATGTATCAAGCTCCTCATGGAAAATACAATTGTTTACTTCACAAAATTTGTTAGGGAAATACAATTTGGAGGCAATACATATGTGATTCCACTTAGTTTAGATATTTTTTTTACCAAATACAGATGCTAATACAATAACAATTCAGAAAGTAATTTGAAATTTATCATGGTTACAGAGCGTTACAAAATCGTTAGGCAACGGCATTCCAAAATTGCCAAATCGAGAACTACATAATACAGACTCACAAACATAATTTGTGAATTTGTGACATAATTTTCCTGAATCACAAATCAAATGACAAGGCATTTTTCAATTACAAATTTGAAAGCAAAAACTCAGACATACAATACTTGCACTCAAACACACACAGCAGTTTTGTGGTAAAATAAATAAAAATAATCTAGATGACTCACACTAAAGAGAAGTGGATGCTCTTGCTTGCCATCGATTTCTACTGGATTGTTCATAAGAATAAAGCTAATGCACTGCTCAACATGTGAATGTAGGAAGTTGTTCCACAGGTACTTGAAGAATAGATCCTGCACAAACAAAAACAAATAACACCGATGAAATATTTTTCTACAATGCAGTTACTGCAGCTTCACTCAAACGCAACGATCTCATAATTAATTAATTATTTATTTAATGGGGGAACACCGTAGAAAATACTGCAGAACTATTCTTATGCCTCGGCAATTGTTAGCATCCACTATTCCAAACACATGATATTACAACTTAAGCTTACCAACATTGTACTTAAAGTGCCCAAATTAGCCAACTCAGTGTTGAGTGCATGTGTGTTGGTCAGGAGCAGCATGGGCACTAGTTTGGCTACTTGTAGTCGAGTGGCCCCCAGAGGTGGGTCCAGTACACCTACTGTAGTCGTCATCGGCGCCAACTGTGTAAACACATTGAAAGCACGCAGAATTAAACCAATCTTGAAATTATGATAAAGTGCAGTGAAGCTTAGGGTCAATCCCTGACTTATCCACACAAGTTAAAATGTAATGCTGCTATACAGGCTTCATGTTTGCTAGCTTTCGCAATTTTCACTGCAATGGCTTTTAATGGGGAAAAAATTCAAAGATAAGTAAATGACATCAGTTCACGAAATATAGTAAAATACTTAATTACCAAGAGCTTTTCAAGTTTTTAAATTTGCATAATATTCTAGTAAAATCATTGTAAATGCCTACAGACAATCACGCATGCACACAGTGATGTAACTGCTGTTTAATGATAGTTGACGAACATGGGAACAGATGCCTCGTGCTTGTGAAAGACTCACAAATAATACTCACAGGTGGAGGGTCTGTCAGAAGCTGGTGGAAATCTTTCAACCTAGGAATGAGTGCTTGTAACGTATTGCTAATTCCTTGAGCTAGCCTCTCTCCATCTAGTGCAGTCATCTGCTCTTGCTGCCCTTCAGGTCTTCACATATGTAGGCAACGATAAAACATTGATTAGATTAAACAAGTAAGGGAGGATAATCGTGCTTATCAGGAACTGAACATTATCAATATAGGTGAAGTAATGCACTAAAGCAGCACAGATAAGAGACATTGGTATGATTTTTAACCCCCATCTCTAAAGCCAGGTGAGCTGAAAAATAACAGTAGCATGGCGCACAATTTTTTAAAGATAGAACACATTATACTAAATCCATGCTTTGCCATCATGGCTAGAGACATTTCCTACCCGATTTTCTTGAAATTTAGTAGCGTCAAAAGCACGTTCATTCCATACACAAGCGTTGCATTACTCCTCTTTTCCGAGAACATGTGGTTAAGCAGATCTGCAACGACTTCTTGGCTATGAAAGACGTCAAATGTAAAAACACATTAAAACTATATAATTACTGTTGTAACTCTAGTTGCAGTTTTAACATGGTCCTATAAATAAATTGTAGCATCATGCCTGGCAGCAAAGATATGCTACCCTAGATACTATCAGGAGTAGATAATAGGGAAGGAGTGTGACTTCAATAAACAAGGAAAATTCGTCATTTACTAGCCTTAGAATACCTACGATTTACTACGTGTAACTCATCCAACTTGAGCTCAAATCATACACAGTACATTCGCCTGGTATCGTGCGAAATCGTTTCCTCGTATACACCAGCAATCCGGAGATACAGACTAAAACGTACGACACGATTATCCATTCTTTGGCCATCAATCCGAACGTATTCCCTGCCGAACTTGCAAACAAAAGGCAGCTACTAACGCGCTGTTGCTCACTCGGCAAGGCGGTGTGGCTCGCTGGGAGATTGGACATCGACGCAACACTCGGCGAGATAACCTTTGACCCGGCATACAGCTACATACCGGCATACCGGTACCACGCACGCCCACCGCAATCTCCCTGCGAGCCACACCGCCACCTTCATGAAATCATTGATAGACCGATCTTAGCATGCCTCGCATAAGACGTAACAATTTTAACGTGGCTACTTACGACTCTATAGCATTGAGAAGTAGGTCTTGCTCTCCCTTCTCCTGATTCTGAGACATAGCATCACGTATCACCTTCACCATGTCACTAAGAGCTTGTGAGGCGTTGCACTGCCGCTGTGAACAAGACCAGTAACAAATAAAAAAAACATGCCACTGTGTAAGTAAAATGATAAACTGTAGTTAATTAACTAATCCACTTAGGATCAATATCGTACGCACATTTCTCAGTAATACTTGGCTTTCCAGGACTTCAAACTTAGCAATAGCAAATTTGGACCAAGAATTCATTCATATGGATAAGAATATGAAATTCGGAATATCCGAGTCTAACATACCGTATTACCCTAATGATACGACCCCACCCAATTTTCCTTACTATATCGTGTGATGTTTTAAATGGTGTACCTGTATTTAACACTGAAGTGCACCAACTACATCCACCTACAGCATTTTTGTCTCATGAAACAAATGTTTTCGGCTAGTTGACTATTGCCGAGTTGTCCCTTACCAATGAAAGGCATATTTGTGTATGTAGTGATGTAATTAGAAAGCAGTGTACAATATACGATCTGGTATGGTTGTAACTAGGAAGCCAGTATTAATTTTGAATAGAGGCATGGGCTATACGATTATATACTGACAATAAAATAAATGTATTTTGATAAAATTGTACCTCCTCATCAACTTCTGGATCAATTAGGTCTACTAGTTTCTGTATAACCCTTTGTTCACTCAGCCACTGTAAAATACACATGCAATGACAACATTAGCATCAAGACATCAATGGCTCTAAAATCATTATTTAAGCGATTACAACATAAGCAAGAAAAAATATATAAAATGGTAGCAGTTCCATAGGATGCACATCATTGATTATGCAAATACTACAAAGGCATCCCACGACCCATAATAATAACACGTTTTAATGACAGAGTTCCAGAGAGGCTATAACCAGAAATTTATCCAGAGTGAGAAATGTGAAAATTTGATTATGGTTTGCCCTGCACGATGACAATGCACTTTCTTACCGAGCATCAAACGATAATTCCCGCTAACTGCATTTCGTGCAGGGACTATCACAAGAGTGTATATTTACGACAATGTAAAGTATTAAGTGACTTAAGTGACACCATTAAAGTGATTACGTCACCGTAAATAGTAAAAAATAAAAATTATATTTCCCCTTTTTCACAAAATATAAGTAATTCTGTTCACTTTTTTTGGTTAAATTGCTGCATTATACTTCTTATTTTAGTATATTGTTCGATGTGAACATACACCCGTGACGCATACATAGCCCATAACAAACCATTAATGTTAGGAACACTAATATCAAATCGTCCAGGTTTTTTGGATTTTTAACTAGTTGAGAAACAATCTTATCAGGTAAGAATTTGACGATACATTTAGTCCCGTTAGTTCTTACTTTTAATATAAAAAAATGGAAACAAAATTTTTACAAATTTTACCATAGAAAATTCGTGACGTAGTCAATTTAAAGTATCCAGCACACTCACTGGAAGGTCATTTGTTGGGTCACGATAATAATGACAGCCACTCAACCATGGTATTGTTTGTCATACCTCGACATATTTGAGTCTGGCTTCTGTAGGTTCCACACAGGTCACTAGCCTCAGTAAAAGGTCCATCACAGCTGACGTGTCGAAATGGCGAAGCAGATGACTAAGGAAATCCTCTCTGACGCGAAAGAAGTCTAACATCTGCAATAAGACATTGGCTTTAAAACTACAGTTCACAAACACAAATATTAATCTTTCACATGCGAGTTCACAAGCGTATCGGGACAACATTAATGGTCATTCACTCAACAATGAAATGCGTTGAAAGATGTTCGCACACTAATACCTAGCATGAGGTGAACACATGCAGGCATAAATAAGTAAATTTTACGATATGCTTTGCACATTTTGTTGAACACCTACATGACACAGTATGAAATGTAACAAAATTGCGTAAATACTTACTATCTCAGCCTGGCGGGCCACCAGCAGACTGAATGTTTTGCTGAAAAAGCTCGCTAATAACGGGTTGACAGGCGACTCTACTTTAATGAAATCATACAGTTTCATAAGAAGAGATTCCTCTGACGCCAGCCGCTCATTGATCTGTGCTATGTCACACGTAAGCAGTTCACACGCCAAGTTGGGATATCTGGTAACGAGGATCAAACCGGAATCACATAACAACTCACTAGCATAATCTTATTGATTTCACAATACAGCACCTAATTACTATGCACCGCCAATACTAATGCAACACAACACTGTGCTAGCGTGCGTATAGATATGTCCACGTTGCTTTCTATTGTCTTCTGATTTTAATAAAGGGATAATATTGAGAGAATTAAACAGTTTTCTCACTTGTATTTGAGGTCATCATGTAATTCGTCAGATGGCTGAGTGACTATGAGGTTAACCATCTGCTCCATAATTTCAGGACGGATCAAACTACAAAATACATAACACAGCATCGATATACAGAAAAGGTTGCACACCTGTACAAGTACCCGATCAGAAATGTTACAACAAAACAATGATGACTGAGAGAAACATTAAATGAGGAGGATTCCTACAGCAATATATACAACTAATAAATTCATTACAGCTTATCTATTCAATTATCCAGACTATATTAGTTGCTTTATAAGAGTAGCAATTGATAGCAGTTTAAAAGCTGGTAAACTGGTACACTGAGCTAGTTTGCTGTGCCTTACTAGAGTTCCCATATCAAGTTCTACAGGCTGGCAACTCTGGACCCACTGAGATTTATCTGATTACCAGTGTGATCAACTAACAGAAAATACAGGCAATGGGTAGATAAATGGTTTAATCATCATGGAAATTACTCCATGTATTTTTTACACTTCAAATGTACTCACAAATCGATCAGTTTATTGTTCTGGGCCTTGCACTCTTGCAACACATCATCTTCATCCATGAGCTCTTGCAGAGTCACATTCTGAATACACAACATTAGAAAGAAGTTAACGTTCAGCACAATATTAACACAGCCGGCTACCGGCAACTGCTCACTATCAGTTGCCAAAACATTTACTACTCATCACAAGTTTGTCAGTTACTCAAAACTGTAGACAATATCGGCTCGTGGATACCCCCTGTTCACACAATTCATTATTATATAAGGAGCGTATTAAGAAGAAGAGCGTACAACGGTGAAATGCTGAAACCATGTTGCAGTATTAGTCGAATTAATAAACTTTCCCCATTTTATTTTGACGATTCTTTGCAGTATTATTGATCAGCTGTCCTACCTTGTTAATATAAAACAAACCGCATGTCCCTTCGATGCCTCTACGCTGAGATAATGAGCGGTGAAAATCAGGTATTTTCGCCGAAAACCGACTCGAGATCAGTGTTTACTGCAACTGTCTCTCGTTTTGTGTACTGTATGTTGCTTCCGGTCGCAGCTGTGTAGCCCTGACTCGATACGTTATTACTACATCCAACGTAAGGGGCGGGTCATCACCATGGCGATAAATAACAAGACGTTTTTGTGGAGTAATGGCTGCGTCAATGCGAGAAAAGATGGTAGTAGGAAAAGAAATTTCATTGTCAACGAATGACGGAAACACGCGAGGTTTCCCGAAGCTATCGCCAGAACGAGAGACAGTTCAAGTAAACACTGATCTCGAGTCGGTTTTCGGCGAAAATACCAGATTTTCACCACTTATTATCTCAGCGTAGAGGCATCGTAGGGACAAGCGGTTTGTTTTATATTAGCAAGGTAGGACAGCTGATCAATAATACCACAAAGCATCGTCAAAATAAAACGGGCAAAGTTTATTAATTCGACTAATACTGCAGCATGGTTTCAGCATTTCACCGTTGTATGCTCTCCTTCTTTATACGCTCTTGATTATATTAATAAACCAGCAATTTAAACTCACCTCTTTGTCAAGCAACGAGTCAACGTGAGACGTTGACATCATGTTGTACCGCCAAAACATCTTGACGTGTAGTTAAGACCTGCAATCATAAATGAACATAACTGCTGTAAAATTCCACCTGAAGATATTCATTACATGCATATATGAACACATAGCAGGTAGCATTGATTGCAGCAAGAGGTCAATTAAATAAGTTTTCAAAATAGATGAAACATTTTGGTACCAAAAAATAATGTTTGTTGTTTGTCCTCAAGATTCTAACCAGGGTTAGGGTTAGGGTTAGGGTTCTCCAAGTTTTTTTTCTCCAACCACCTTTTAGCTTCTCCACCAGGGTTCTCCAAGCCTTTTCATTATAGCATGGGGGTCCTGCCCTTTACGGTCCTAGTTGCAAAGCGCCGAAAGCGGTTTGCGTGCTAGGGGGGTCCGGGGGGCTATGATATTAAATTTTAGCATGGCGACTATGATATTTAGAGTGGCGGGTGCAGCTTTTAGGATGGCGGCTCGACTGTAAGCCTGGCAGGCGCCAGGCTAGAAGTGCTCTTGGAGAACCCTGATGACATAACAACCGTATTCTGGATTGTCCTACACCAACTGCACATATTTAGTGGTGTTCCAAACTAATTTATTTAAGAATAATTGGTATGCAATGTGGCAATTCTTTGTGCACAATGAATTTATAGATTATGGAGCAGGATTACCTAAATATGGTATGTACTTGAAGGTATTGATGAAGTCAATATTTACGATAGCAGCAGAATGTGGCTGCCAACTGGTTGACTCACTGGATAAACACAACACTTTATATCTGCCAACTACTGATAAAACTAATTCCCTTAATTGCAATAGGATCACACTGCCATAACAACAACAAGTGATCTTAACCGTTTCAACAAAATTAAACGCAGTGGATATTTACGCCGTATACGGCAGAGTAACCACTTCCGCTATTTTACCGTACAGACTTCTGGATTGGCTAAGTAATGTATGTGTATATATATATGGTTAGCATAATTATGAAATGTGTTCAAAAGGTTCGTTTTGGCGAACGTGATGTCCCGGAAAATCTTCTAATGGATTAAATACGGCTACAAATGTGTAGACATAAATGGGATTTGAACCTAAGTTTTCTAGATAGCTAAACCTTATGGGATTCAAATGTAATGTTGATGATGTCATAAATATATCAGCCAATCAAATGTGGTGTACGGTAAAATAGCGGAAGTGGATACTCTGCCGTATACGGTAAAATAGCGGAAGTGGATACTCTGCCGTATACAGTTAAATATCCACTGCCAAAATTAAAATGTAAGCTGGCGATACCGACAAGTCCCATTTTTAAGGTGCGATTTTATTTCATGCATGAGCATCAGCAATAATCTTGTAATCTCGTGATCAGGATGATGTTTATCACTGGACATGCATTCTATCCTTGAGCCAGTTTTACTTTTAGATTAGAGAGTTGTTTCAAAATAATGCAAAATGTATACCATATAAATGCCAATAAACGGACATGACTGAATCTGTTATGAAATTTGGGCATGGATCGTAACCCAGTGGCAGTGTTCATGGTTACGTACTCAGACAAATTTTAATGTTTAACCGGCTAAGGGATAGAGAAGATGTCCAGTCCTATCTTATCAACTAACATCATCCTATCCAATCACCGTACTGGACATCATCTCTATCCTTTTTCAGGGATAGATAAGATGTCCAGTCCTATCTTATCAACTAACATCATCCTATCCAATCACCGTACTGGACATCATCTCTATCCTTGAACCGTTTAACCTCTGCGAACATGAATAGGAAAGATTAAATCATACAATCACCCCGGAGTAAATCGCTCAGAGAACCGATTCACAGCAAACACTGGGATGGGTTGTAAACTTTTAACCTGGCTACTTGGTTAGGATATTGTAAATGTAATTTGGGGAGTAATTTTGAGTACCGAGTAGGCCCTAGGCCTAAACACTGCACCAGTTTATTAGTCAAACTCAAGGGTATCCTATTCACGCAAAGGTTGTAGTCTGTGACCTTTAATAGTCGTGGAATTACTACACGATATATATTTGGTAAATATAAAGTTAATATTGTACAGTTATGAGATATTGTCCATTTACTGATTTAGTTATATTAAGTAATTAACGGAGAGAGAGAACTCTGACAGTTATCGTTATACTGTATTGACATTAGTTCCCTTTCATTTGTTTCAGCGTGTCGCTTACATTTTCTAGTGATATAAAACTTCATTCAGGAAACGAGTTCTTCTTTAAATATAGCAATATGATTGACTTTATTTAATAATAATAAAGTAGGTACGGTATTCACTGAAACTAGGCCCATTGCTGGCTGCTGTTAAAACTTGAAGTTGAATTGACACTTGTCAACATTAGCGTGTTTTATACCCGTTATAAGTTCGCCGTAATTTCTCTTTTTCTGAACAAAAACGTCTCGGTCGTCCTTTGTCTCTGGTACACATTAAGTTATAAACACGGGGTTAACTAGGTTGTAAGTGTGTTTACAATCGTCGCAACGACAAATTTTTCCACATAACATTTGTTTAAAATGGCGTCCCGATCTATCCCATAATTATTTGCAGATCTCGCGGTATTTTTCGGCATCAACAGAAGAACATTAATTCGGCGCCGAGATCAGCTGAGCTGGGTGAGTTGTTTACACGAAGATTACTTTGCTGACTGTTATCGTTTTATGTAGGCATAAATCTGGTAATAATATTATTGTTTGTATTTCTGCAGGTTTCGCTAGTGTAGAAGATATGACCTGCGTTGGTTAACTAAATGAAGTGATCGCGCTACGTGCTTTATATTATTTATCGGTTTTGAATTTGCGCAACAATCGATCTCTGTGTTCTGTCTCATTCAGGTACTGTCTCATACCAGATGCGTGCATAATGTAAGAATGAGTTCTGTATTGGTGTCAATGTCAGTGGCTCCAAGGTCTAGACGAGATCTCTGTAATACTGTGTATTTCGTACATCGTGGTTCATAATTCGTTGCTCTTGTATAATACTGGCATTACTAATACTCTGCCATGAAAGGGGGTCGTGATTGTTTGGCGGCAGTGGCCTAATTCATCATATAATCAAGAAATCTCTGTAACTATTTTACGTTTTATCAGTTTTGTCATAAACGAATAATATAGTGGATTGCATAAGGGTGGAAAGAGGTTTGAGTGGCACATATGTAAGGGGCCCACGTACAGTGACAATGTTACTAAAACATTGAATTGCAGCTAATAAAATGCATGACCATGTTGAAAAATTAAACATTTCAAATGTAAGGAGATTCATTAAGAATTGCTTTCACTGGTAATCGAAGAGAAAACCATGGTTTAACAATATGTAGTAGCTCGCTTATATTGAATGGTGCAAGTGACAGCTGGAACTCTGGATAGTTCTATTGATCCCATAATTTCTTTTCACCCTTTAGTATTATCAGGTACGTATCCAATGCTATCCATCTAACAATTGAATGGCTAGACTATAGTATGCCCCGCTGATACAAATTTAAGGGATTGGAAAAGCTTTACGGAAGTTCTACTTTTGGGCACACACACTTTATACTAGCAGAACTATTTCAATAGCATTGCCAATCTAAATGAATTGTGATGATGTTCATGGAAAGTGTTTGCAAGCTAGAGAACTGCTGTGAGCATTGCATATGAAACATGGTTATTGTGTTGATGGAAGGATACTTTGTATTACACACTTGCAATGTAATTCAGTACGCTAAACTTTTTTCATATTAACATGAATATAATCAGGAGTTAATAAAGACAAATCTTTATTTTGTCTTTATTAACTCCTGATATAATCAAGAGCCCATTAACCCCAGAGCGTACAATGCTGAAATAGGAAAACCATGGTGTCGTTTCAGCAAAATTAATAAAGTTTACCTACCTTATTTTGATACTTCTCTACCGGAATATTATGCAGGAGTCATAGCTAGCCAATATAAGATCAACTGCTGGTCTCTACGATGTTCCTATGCCGAGATATAAAGCGATAAAAATAGAGTACTTCTAGGTAATCCTAGCGCCATATCACCCAGTAACACGCCTCTCCCGCGTTTAGTGACAAGCGGCCGCGGCAAGCGGTTGATCTTATATTGGCTAGCTATGACTCCTGCATAATATTCCGGTAGAGAAGTATCAAAATAAGGTAGGTAAACTTTATTAATTTTGCTGAAACGACACCATGGTTTTCCTATTTCAGTGTTGTACGCTCTGGGATTAATGGGCTCTTGATATATGTATTACATATATTTTTAATTAACATTGTGCAGTTTATTTAAAGCAAGTAAGCTACATATCTAAATGCTTATTAGAGTGGTTGCATTATGAGCAAACCTGCACATTTTCACAACTGAGTAATTTCCATGCTAGAAATACTCAAGCAGCATGTAGTTACATTTGATGAATATTCCTGTTGAATGAGCAGTAGTGAGGTCAAATATTGTAATCGTGTGGTAAATAATTCCGTTCTGATGTCATGCTGTTATCGTGAAGGGTTACAATGCAGATGGTAATGACAAATTAGTAGCGGTAGCTGGGTGACTAAAGATGTCTGGTTTAGCAGTATTTTGCATGTACAGCAGCAGGAACAGGTCCTGTGCTGGTCTGGACAGCCGAGTTAACTGTTGCACAATACAGAGGTCATTCCACTCAAGCCTTTGATCTATAAATACTTGCTGTTTCCATTAGCTACACAGTAGAGCTGTAGGAATCTAGTCTCTAACTGACCAGGACTGACTGGCCCACTATGACACTCCGCTGGTCCGCTTAGCAAATGTCCAAACTAAAGGCTAAATTAATTCCCTCCGCTAAAGAAAGAAACCACAACCATAATTGGTATTATTTTCTATATATACTTGAATGTGTGTGTGTGTGTGTGCGTGCGCGTATGCACTGAGCTAGATCGTAGTCTAGCTAATATTGCTCATACAAAATGTTGTTATGATATATAATAGCTCGACAGCTCATTTGAGATATTATATTACATTAAAATTAACCGCATATTGTCAGTTATGACCTGCTACCGACAATTGACACAAATTTATTGAAAGTGGGTTGTACACACAGCCACACTGCTCAAACACATTGATAGCCGGGCCTGGGCACACTATACATAGCATCGTAGATCAATCCGTAAAATCAAGTCAAGCAGCCGAGTTTGACACTCGCGTGCTACGCGCGCGTTTCCTCGGCGCGGAAGTGTGCCAACTGGCCATGACTGGGCTTTCTGCACGCGCGTATAACGGCAGGCTATTATGTTTGCCCGTATGATAACTGTAAATTTCACTGAGCCACTAGCGGTACACGCGGCTAGCGGTACACGCAACGCAGGTGGTGCAGTTGGAGCGGTAGCGTCTGTTATCAGGCCGCCTAAAGTGCGGCTGCTGGCGTTCGGCTTTACTTTTATTTGTGCAGTCGAAGCGTGGATAGCGTGGCGGCTTTTGTTTGCGAAATTGCGTAAATCCTTTATGAAATCCCTCGGATTAAACTTCATAACTGAAATGAAAGAGCAGTCGCAAATAACCTACATAAGTGACTGCAGAGTTGAGATGTTTCAAATCCAGTGACTGCCCGGCTATATTTGTGAAATCGTTTGCGAAGCATGCAGTTCATAGCTGATAACACCAGTGTTCATGGAGTGACGGAGAGCAGAAAAGTGTGTGAAATGTACGATATGGCGTCTGGCTCGATCGGCTTTCAGTTGCTGACAACTAACACGCCTGCCGTCGGTAACAACTATATTCTCGTCCCAAGCTCGGATCATTTGGCACCATTCTGAGCGCACCCCGTTTCGACTGTCGTAGATAGCACCGCATAAACACATTCGTTCATAGCCTTCGCAAGGCTAGGCTGGGGGGACGCACGGAGATGATACAGCTCCATGGGTACTTCACGCTCTAATAGTTTTGGCGCTGCTCTGCAGATGTCTGTGAGCGATGTTGTTACCCCGGCAGTAGCAGCAGCAGCAGCACCTGCCCCACGCTAACCCGGCCCCACCCGCCAGCGCGTGCCTCCATTATAACGGGACTACAAATAATGAGCCAGCAGCCCAAGCCATTCGCGCAAGCTTTGTCTTCTGCGGGGGCAGCTGTCCTATTGTGGACGGAGGCAAAATGTCCCCGTTGTTGAGCCAGCCAGGGTGGCACGTACCGCAAGTTTTTATTGGGCTGCTTTGTTTCATTAAAATGTTGGCAGCCAATACCTGCGCTCGTTCATAATCCTCAGCATCAGTAACTACGTAGAGAGGGTGTTTAGGAACCAACTGGTTCGTCTATGCAACAGGGGGAATAGTTTAGTGTGAGGTTGCGTGCCTGAAGGATGGTGTGAGTTGTGCCTATATATACATTGTTCACTTTACTGATATGCACAGATTTGATCGGGAGTAGATAATTAAGTATTCTTTATTATGTCCTCCTGATTTTATAACGTGCGAATATGCATATTAATTCACGTTCTTTTCCACAGTGGACAATGTTCAGTTTTCACAAGCCAAAGACCTACAGAAGTGCAGATGGCTGCTGCATATGCAAGGCAAAGTCATCCAGGTAATTAGAAAGATACTAGCAATTCTGTGTTGCTCATTTTATCAAATTCTTGTATGTATGTGTTGGTAATTCCAAGTTATACACATGTTACTTGCACCTTATAGCATTTGTATATATACGTATAGTCTGGTATCTGATATTTGCACACTGATAGGTGGCAATATTAGGATTAATTCAAGGTTTTTTACTTGTCGGTCACACCTACTGTATAGCCGTTTCAATGCGAAGTGATATGGTACACTTATTGCGGATCAAGTCATCACCGATAACTATAAATTCGTGACAGACATTAATACAGGTCACCAAGTGCATCGCCCTCTGTGCGATATTCTATGAAACGCGACGATATAAATCTGATAGTACATAAAGGAAGCATTACACGCAACCTTCAATCGCATGTTGTTGACACCGGTCGTTAAGACTCGCCCTTCGTCGCTTGCTTGCAGCTCACGGTTTACGAGCAGCGAGAGATACGAGAGGCACTTTGCAGCCTGCTTCCAGGTAACAGAAGAGCGCGTAGGCGACATATGCAATGCGTGCGTTTTGCTGGTGAAACGCTGGAGAACGCTACCAAAGGACTGCAAGCGACACTGGAATCATGTAAGAAATGGTGCCACTATTGGGAGGACCAAATGTATTAGCTAAGACTACATAAAGAGGAATAAATAGAGGTGTAATTGGGAAAGAATGTTGTTATTTTGCACTACTCGAAGATGGTTGCCTTGGAAAAGTAGAAAAGAAAGATTTTCCCTGTTAGAATGATGGCTTCCAGTTGTTCTGATGTGTAATAGATTCTATCATGTCATGCAGGTCGTTGATGCAAGAGCTGGCCCTGGGACCAAAAACTCGCAGAAGATAGGCAAAGTGAAAATCACAACGAAAATTAAGGAAAAGGCTGCGAAACTAAAGAGACAACAGGCCAAAGAGCTACTGCGTCTTTCCAAACAGAAAGCTAGAGAGCCGAGTCCCGAACTGTCTGATGATGTTGCAGGTAAGAGTATAAATGTTTCTATAGCTATAATAGGCTAGTTAGCACACAAATACTTACATAGGACAAATGCCATTTCCGTAGTATTTCATCGAAAACAATGTAGACCGATTTTTTTTTACTCGTTTTCAACATTTGAAAATTGAAATGGAAGCGAACCAATCTGAATCGAATCGACGAACTGATTGTAATAAGAAAGCTGTTCGTCACACTTTTTTATGAGCGGATAGGCATTGTATACGTTATATGTGAGGAGTCCTGCTAATCAGCAGGCATACATGGTGGTTACAGTGGCAGCTGCATCTAACGGAATTTCGGCATCGATGCCATATGCTTCCCTGGCAGCCATTCTTTTGTATTTGCGGCGTGTGTGTGTGTTGTTTGCCCCTGGACCCCAGAACAGTCACCCACATTGTGTGCTAAAGTGCAGCTGCTCTGCCTCACAGCTACGATTGGAGCGATGCTTAGTTGACGGTTTTTTTAAAAGTTGACACAAGGTAGAGTAGGTGTCAACATGTAGCTGATATCATACTAGCCCGAGGCAGCTGTAAGACTAAACGTTTACGCATGTCATACGTGTCCCTTTCTAACTCACTACCACATATACTAATGGAATAAGAGGAGTTCACATAAACGTTTATGATGATTTTGCAACAAAAAATTGATCATTGAAATACCTAAACTTATAGTTGCATGTTAGTTGTTTACTCAGTTTATTCCGTGACATGCAGTCAAAGCTATTCCAGCCGATTTCGCCTATATAAAACGGACGTCTGTATGTAAAGGACACTCTTTGGCATTTCCCTTACGTGGCACTTGCATAGCGAAACCACCTCTATAAAACGGACGCATGTCTAGAAAAGATACTTTTGGTGTTTTTCTCGAGCAGTGCTTATATAACGGTTTGATTGTATATGCGATAAACAGTAGGATAAAATCATACACACTGGCTGTGAATCCCCGATAAGACTAATATGGTGGACCGAGATCACGTTGCCTGGTCTGATAACGTGACTCTGTGCCTGCAGGTGACGATGAAGAGCGCGTGTTGTCACCGAGCCCGACACCGAGCGAGGAATCAGAGGAGTCAAACTCGGCACCGGCGAGGCGCTCTCGCAAACGCGCTAGGAGGAAAGCGCCACAGCGGGCGGAGCCTCGGTCCACGATGCAGTTCAGCTCTTTTCTTGACATGAGTTACTGGCAAAGGTAAGAGGGCTAACGAGTGTGCGAGGGTGGGACAGTGAGTAAGTAGGTAAACGAAAGGCATGGGGGGAGGTGTAGCGAGAATGAATTATTGTGGAAAAGGGACGAGTTAGAGGAACTCTAACACAAAGTTCTTGCAAACAAAAGTTGGAGAATTGGACGGTTAACGAATGCCGGGAAAAGTATTTTATAAGATATGAATAATAATTAATGGTGCTCTGCTACTGATACTGCATTAGTGATTTCTCTTATATGGTGCTGCAGTATAAAATTGTTTGTAATATGGTGCAGTAACAAAGGTGGGTGATTTTATTTTGCGTTTTTCTCAACAGGACGGATATTTGTTGTGGAACCATTTTCAAAGGCCCGTGTGGAACGGTGCTTGTTGACCCAACACTCCTACATCCCTGCAGACTGTGCCAAAAGCCCGTTGCGAGTGCAGATTCAAGCAATTCAAACTCCACCAAGTACGAACGTGAAAACATGGATAACACAGTACAGAGTGACAGTGGGGCCAGACAAACGATCAACGAAACATCTGAGGAGGTGAGCAGTGATCACGAGGACGTAATTTCTCCACCCAGCAGTCCCTGGACAAACATAGATCTAGGTATGGCTGGGAAGTCAACCGCATTTGCCCCCATGTTAGGTGCATGTTAGAAATGTCAGTTTATGCTGATCACCACTTCATAGGCCAATTGGCCGTGTATAGGTGCGTGTAAAAATTACCTAGTGATTTTGTAATGTTTCATGCAATCACTTTTATACCATGTCCCCCAAATAATTTTTAACAGTGTTTCAGCACTTTTTATACAGCTTAATTGTCTCGTTATTGATCCTTTTTTTACAATTAAATAGAGAAATGAGACTTTTATAGTAACAGTGTAATCAATAAGTGGTATAATTATGATGAAAATGAAACCTTCCAAGATATTTTTGGTCCCATTCATCACGTTATTGGAAAACCAATGGAAATGTTTACATATCATGCATCACTGTGAACAATTATTTGGAGGAAACAGTGTGCCATTAATGGTGCCTATAGACAAGGTAAAATTGTGCATGTATGTGTTTAATACGTTTTATTAATTGCATTTTTGTATTTACATGTGGATTATTAAATTAATTAAACTATAAATTTTCTATCAAAGATTTTAGCTGATACCATAAGATGCATCGTTATCTGTTGTGGGGGCCAAATTGTTGGAGATACATGGTTGTGCTCGTTACTTTATGAAAATGTTTCCTTTCATAAAGTTTTGAAATATTTATGTGTATCGAGTCATTTTCTATGAATTTTATAATTATGTGCTTGGAACATTTATCCACGTATAAGAAGAATCTAGAACAGCACAATTGTTATAGAAAGTTGTATATACTGAAATAGTTTGAAGATAAAGTACATTAATATTATTTATTCTTATATACAGGCATTGCCATGATCTCTTATATCATTAACTTTCTACCTCCCTTCATCTCTCCCTTCCCACTTCGCTTTCTGTCATTTTTCCCGTTCTTTTTATACGTACCCGTAATGAAATCTCAGGTTTTTGAGTCTCATTATTCTTTTACAAAATGTAATATTACACTCTAAAGTTGCTTTTCTCTAAACAAGGTATATTATTACTATTTGGCAGCTAAGTACTGCATCAGAAGATCATCTGCATGGCTTTCTGTTAAAAATATGCATTCATCATTTTCAGTAGCCTCAGTTAAGCAATGATTATAAATCTGTGCATTTTATGTTGTTATGTCCTTTTAGTGTTCTCTTGTTCTAGTAAGAAATTAGGTTACTTAATGAAGAAGTTTGCCAAAATTGAGGAACTTGCCAAATAGATTTCTACTTGCCAACAATCTTCTTGCTCTAATCAGTGCTTTTATTTTCCATGTGCATTTTTAGTATGCTGTTGATATTTACATACAGCGATTTTAGTAATTACGAAGATGAGAATTTGTTATGTGACATTTTTTTTATAGGGGAATGTTTTTGAGACCTTTTGTCGATGATTTGTCAAACCAAAGGTTGATGCGAGTTTTATAGACACATTGTTCAGGGCATAGAATACATAGTTCGATGAAACTGACATGCGAAGTATTTATTCTAATGAAGTTGTAAGTTATATTGTACACCTGTGTGAAGCTTTGCTGTAGTGACATGAGATTTTGTAAGAGTTGCCAAATTGCTGTGCTGAAACTTTCCATTTTTGTGATCATGTGTAAATTCAGCAGATATGGCATCTCTGGAAATCGTGTAAAAACGTTTAAATTCATGTTTACATTACAAATCTACGTATGCTAAATGTATTTGCAAATGTTTACACGTGTACAGACGCTGTTGCAAAGTGAATGTGCTATCACGAGTTGAACGAGAGAATTATCTCTGGTTTCATGCTGCTCTTGGTGATATTTTCCTACAGCAATGGCCTTTTTAATCATTTTATTTTTGTATAAAACTGAAATGTGTCACGTATGAGTAGTGGTTGTCAGTGCTTGCTTAAAGATATAACTTAGGATAATGTGAATAAATAAACTAATAGCGGCATTGGAACCAACGGATCAACTAACGTTTATAGGTTTCTTTGTAGCCAACTTAATAAATGTAGATTATGATTGTCAGTTTTCGTTTATTGTAAATGCTACAACAACTATATAGTTGCTTGAGCATTGCCGCAAATTTTGAATGGATCCTTTTATGCTGAGTAGCTTTATGCATATATAGGGATTAAAAACATGAAGCGTTGCCATTAGTAAACTTGTGTATATTAAACTTAGTTGATTAGTTAATGAATTGTTTATGGTAGATTTGAGTGCTGTTTTTCTGACAGATGTTGATTAATTACCAAGTCTTTGAGTGTTGGAAGTCCACACACTGCTACACGTGTTTGTGGTTCGTATTCTATTGTCACTGTGCTGTCAATGTTATCAATGCTATTGAAATATCACCATTTTCGTAAAGTGCCTATGTGGACTGTGAATCCAACTCCCAGCTTCTTCTAATTTTACTGACAGAATTCATTATTTGTGTGTAAACTGAAATCAATTGCAGCCGCATCCAAATACAGAAAATTGGTGAATTTCCAGCATTTTTTTAGATGTGATTTTAGATTGTACGACTAATGTAATGTGTAGGTAGACCTCACCATTCACCCATGTATAATAGAATAAAGGATGCAAGTATGAATAAAAGCTACATTTTAGTGGGAATATTTTGTAGTATGGGTTGGGACATTTGGTGCAAATAAACTAACATTAGTATATTTGGTACCATGATCGCAGCAAGGAAACCTCCTATTGCAGAGGAAGGGACATAGTGCAAATATGAAATGGAATAGCATAGGTTGAATGATTTGCTGTAGTATAGTTTGTGAAGGTAAATTTGATTAGTGTTTCAAACAGTGTCATTAATCTCACAGCTAACATTGCACAGTACTCTATTAGTAAATAAATATTTTTGAAAAAGTTTAAAATACCGGCTTGCTTTTACTTTGGTTTACATTTTTAGCTCGCCTTGACATCGTCAAGATGAGCTATTGCCATGGGGCGTCGTACGTCCGTCCGTCAACATTTGGCTACGGTCAACGATAACTTGAGAACCGTTTGACCCACATGTTTCAAATTGCATACAGTTGTTACTCCTATGGGAGAGATGTGAACGTCCTATTTTGGAGCATGCCAGTTGACCTCCTTTCGAGCCACGCCCACTTTTTGGCAAAAATGGAAATGGCCATAAGTCCGTTCAGGTTCAACGGATTTTGCTCATTTTTGGTATGTGAATGAATAAGGACTGGCCCCAAAACATATCACACGGGTTTTGATATTTTTTTAAATTATGCAAATTAGGTAGATTTTGGCAATTTCACTACGCATTTCAGTGTCTGCCTACGGTCAACGATAACTCAAGAACCCACATGTTTCAAATTGCATACACTTGTTACTGCTATGGGAGGGATTTGAACGTCCTATTTTGGAGCATGCCAGTCGACCTACTTTCAAGCCACGCCACGTTTTGGCAAAAATGAAAATGGCCATCTAGATTCATTCGATTTTGTTAAATTTACCTACCTACCTACCTACCTACCTAATCATACCTACGTGTAATATTGTGTTTTAGATTCTTCGTTACAGTAATTTGACTGGAATATTTTGTGTTTTTTTTGCGTGCTATAATCGAAAACCAAAATGGCGATCATTTAGGCGTAGCGTCATCTCTCGCCCAGATTTAAGAACCCTGAAACAAAACTGAAATTTCTATTAGTATAAAACAGGGAATAAGGACATTTGATCACATTTCGGTCTGTCATAAATGAAACGCTTACCAAATTTTAAATATCATCTCCCTCTTCTATCACACCCAAGGTGAGCTACAGTGTCATTGACACTTTCATTATATAACCAACTAGTCTTTTACATTTGATATATGAAAATATAAATCATGTAGTTCTATCGTCAGTTTTTTATTTGAGCTCTAATAAAATATCAAGGGAATAACTGCATACATTAAATGTCAAGGGAATATAAATTCATACATTTTTATAGGTTATTCATCAAGTTCAATATAAGCTAGGAAATATTCTTACCACTATACAACAGGGATGAGAACGGCTAACATGATTAACTGAAACACTGGCGGGTGAGTGGGTGTGCGAGGAAATGCCCGCATAATCATTTTAAACCCAGACCACTCGATCAACACTCATCAGAATTACTTATTTGTATAACATTTTTTGTACTCCCTGTAGGGGCTGGCTATCGTTATCTGCCAAGTCCCCAGATTTTTATTACCCCGCTTCATTTTCTCCACGAATTTACACTGATCTAAAAGTTACCCTCCCAACACAATAACAAATCTGAAACTCGTGGATCAATGGAGTATTCTCTTCCCTGACACTACGTGCATTTTACGACCGCTATCTGAACACTAGCAATGATAGCCCGTTACAAGCTAGCTATCGCGTTTCACCATTTCACAGCTATTTATAGAAACAATTTGGGGGAATCACAGATTGTTCAATAAATCTCACCAACATTCATTAAACTACCCTGTCACACAGGATTTTTTTTTCCATGTTACAAAGCTGTGAAACTCACGTGTACTCAGTTAAAACTACCCCATTAAGACTGTCATCCTTTATTGGGAATAAATGTACACACGCACACTACGATACATGTTTTTCTAATTTAAAATACTCGAATATTGTATCAAATTGCATCAACAATATCTACAAATCTACGACAATTTTTTTTCTGTGTGACGGGGAGCAGGAAAAATGAATTGTGAAAATGCCATACTAACATTATCTTAGGACAGTTAAACCTCTTCAATCTGGCATACTATATATATATATAGTAGGGCTGTAACGATACACAAGCCTCTCGATTCGATCCGGTTCTCGATATTAGCGTCTCGATTCGATTCCCAAAATATTGAAATGTTATCTTTCTTTTTTTTTTTTTCCATTATTTTGCAATAATAAGTTATTAGAAATTGCCAATGAATACTAAATGGTGAATAGACTAGAGAGTAGATAGCATTATATACACTGCACAGCCGCTGAGTAACATTGGTGAGTAACACTCCACAGTATATAGCGTAGTGCCGCCATCTATTGGAAGAAAAAAGTGGTATCGAAGTGGAATCGAAAATACGGGAAAAAATATCGAGGATCGGATCGAGGGAAGAGAATCGCGATCCGATTCGATTTCGGTGGATCGTCACAGCCCTAATATATAGCCATTAATACTCCATTACAAGTCAATTCTTAAAACTGAATACCTTACCACCATTCGTTTTGGTTTCGTGTTTACGTCGGTGGACTCTGGTCGTTGTCTTCACTTTCTTTAAAAAGTTACTACCTCGTGGATCACGTAGAATATCTCATCTCGTATCACTTGGGTCATAGTTTGATTATAAGATACAATACATCAAAACGAACCTCAACAAAGTGCTTAACAAAGGGTTTGGTAAGGTTTTGCTAGTTTAAATTATGTTGCGAGGTATGACCTCGGTAATAACCTGGAGTTTTCTGCATTATGGCTAGCCGAAGAATGCCAGATTGGTGAGGTTCACCTGCATTCTATTATGGAAACAACACTGGTCATCACAAAATGACAATAATGCATAACAATAAGTATCGTACATATATTTGCACCAAGACTCGAATACTATATCACAATTGGGCCCCAATGCAATTAACTTATGTGTTCATTCTGTAAGTGCATTAAAAATCTGCACAACTATATATTATCATTTATCATACATACATCATAATTACATAAAACATGCTAAACCTGCCACAAAGAGGACACTCCTCAACACTTAGATCAATGAAGATTACTAGATGATATTTAAGAGCACTCTAATGCGAACATGTACAAAGCTACAGATATTATGTATATATAGGTTCGTGATAGCATCCACAAGTTCACAATTTCGTTACTAAAGTACCAACGTTCCTTGAGAATAATCAGTTACAAAAAACTAAAGACCGTGTCATTCATTAATATCATAATTGAGCACGAGTCAAACAACAAAATAACTATAATTATAAACAACAAAATAACATATTATCAGGCGTAGATAATAGCGAATCTATTCCCTATTATCTACTCCTGATATTATCGACTGATAGAACTGTAAAATCTAGTGAAATAGTTGCAACTTCATTTGTCACTAAGAACTAATAATGGACCTAAACGTAGCATACGTGAAATTGCTAGTTTGTTGTTGCGGCTTTCGAAAACGTCCTGATGCTGAGATCACGATACACTAGTCAACTGCTAGTGTCAACTGCTATACTGCTAGTAGCCTCCACACAGCTTTGCAATTTTCTGAATTAACTCCCTTTCCACACCTGCATCTGCCAACAACTGTGACACAGTCGTGCCCACAGTCGAGAACGTTCTGCACATTCATTGACTCTAATGTCAGAAATACCCTAAAAAGCTATCACTATAGTAAGTTTAAAACATCCATCCCTTTGCGCGATGCTTCAAACGCACTTCAAAAGTTACGACAATTTAGACTTACGATAGTCGTAACTATTCATGATGTTTCTGACAATGGGCCTGTGCTCGGTAACTTACTTTGCTCGGTAGATCGCACACACAATCCATGAGGAGCACAACTAACAGGTAGCAGAACTCAGGAGCCAAACTCCACGGTGTCCGACTCAATGCGCTTGAATTCGTATTCGCCTTGGCCGTCCATGTGCAAGTAGTACTGCAAGATAAACGGACGGAGCTTGTCAGGCCATATGCGCTCCGTTGTAAATTATATCTATGCAAAGTAAAACGTATACACAATGAAAGTGTCAATGACACTGTAGCTCCCCACAAAAAAGGACACAAATGAGTGAGTGAGAAGAAGTCAGTTTTAATTGAGCAACCATCGACGTACATTATAGAAACGAAGAGTATATGGGAGAACTCCCATTATATACTCTTGATAATTATATGTGTAATTTTTCATGTGAAAATAATAAATAATATTATATATAAATTATAAATAATTTATAAACCAAAATGAATCACAATTTGTGACGGTAGATGGCGCTATACCCGCTTTGATGTTTCTTAGCATAAATCATTATATCATAATAATATAATAATAATAGTATAAATCATAATATGTTCATAGCAGGAATTTTGCATTAAAGATATTGTCAATGAAATCTTGTAAAACGAACCAGACGAGTGTGACACCACAGACTGTTTGTTATCTGCGTGTCTGTATAATATGCTATATAATTGCCAAACCCTACCTAATTTGCATAATTTTTTTTAAATATCAAAACCCTTATTCATTCACATACCAAAAATGAGCAACATCCGTTGAACTTGAACTGACTAATGGCAATTCCCATTTTTGCCAAAAATAGGACGTTTAATATGGGAGCATAGCAGTAACAACTATACCCAATTTCAAACATGTGGGTCAAACGGTTCCTGAGTTATCGTTGACCGTAGCCAAATGTTGACGACGGACGACGACCCATGGCAATAGCTCAGCTTGACGATGTCAAGGTGAGCTAAAAATGTGAGTATTGTTTCCTGCCGTGCAGCGCATGTAAAATCGTGTTTTTGCCACTATAAAGTGAGCACTGCCAGCTACATCAAAATCTCATATATTCGTATAAAAATAACAAACAATATATATTATGTAGCATAACAAGCTCATCTGAACCTTAAATAATGCTGAAAGTGGGAGTGACGTTATCCTTTAACTGTAGACCTAACAGCTAGACCATCTACTGTTCTCAGTCATTCTGCAGCAACATCCACAGGAAAATTGCAGTATTCATCGCAAGGTCCATCTCCAGTACGTCACTGCTTAATACTGCCAGGGTAACGTACCTCGTGATGCTTCCACAACGACTTCCGATGTGAGACGGTGAACAGCGTGATGCCGACCTCCCGGCAGTACTGGTACATGCTCGACTCCACATCCACGCTCACCGCGCTCGTGCACTCGTCCAGGATCGCAAACTGCGGCTTGTGGTAGAACAGTCGCGCCATCTACGGGAAGCAAAAGGATTTTTTTTTAAACAGGAAAATCACGTCCCTTGTCATTAAGCCACAGACCGCTGAACCTCGAGTTAAAGCATAGACATTATTTTCACGACTATACTACATTACAAATGTATACAATGTGTCATTTCCCTCTTAAGATAGTACAGAATAGATGCTGACTACAGTGCCACCGCATGCAGTCTTCATATCACAAAAATCAAACAAAGACCAATCATGCTAACAAGCAAATATACAATACACACCTCATTTTGATTTTTTTTGTAAATTACTTGTCATTAATTATTAAGCACAGTTACCATATAATGCTGCTGCAGTTAGACACCATCCACTGAAATTGTTTGCCTGTTCTCGTCATTTTCCCTAATTGTACGTATGAGTTTATACGTAATATGATCAAATATGCATAACATTACCTAGTATTCAACGAGAATTTAATTTTACACTAATCTCATTATTTCCCTGATCTTTATCTAACATGCCCGACATGCCTTGACAATAGCTCTAATACGTACAGCTATTCGCTGTTTCTCTCCTCCGCTCAGTACATCCATCCAGTCTTGCACCGCATCCCAGCCTTCGTCTCTATCCAAAATGTACAGCAACTGAACCTGCGCACAATATGACACCAATGAATTCAATGTAAGTAAGGTATGTGAATTTCTATAGCACTGTTAAACTTACAGAACATTCATTATATGAGGTTATTTTATATACAGAATGAGATATGACAGCAGTAAGGAATATGCCAATCTACATAACACCCACCGTTCACCTGATAGTCAGGAGGCTTATGCACGTAATAGAGCCCAAATCTGCAAATTATGAAAGACATTTTTAAGGGTCAAATCTGGGTTCATATGTTCCTCAACTAAGAATTTTTTTGAGGAGCCCAAAAATTTGACCCCGGGAACCCCCCCCCTCCCTATGGGCCCGGTAAGGGACCCGAAACTGTTATTTGCCATATCTTTGCCCTTCTTTGGTCGATTTGAGCAAAGTTAGAGTCGATTTTGGGGTTTTAAACATCAAGGAATCGATTGGGCGTGGTTTGGAACCTAAATTTGTCAAAGGTCACGTGATATCGTTCCTTCGGGTTCACCTCGCGGGCCCGAAAATGGGTTTTCACATATCTCGGCTATTTTCTCAAAAAAAAGAGAGTCAATTTTGGGGTTTTA